AATCTGCAACTATATCACTAGATGCCACTAACTCCTACACACTGGTCCTTTAAAGTCTAAAAGTCCCTACGAGGAACTTTAGTCTTGTTTTAATTTTGGTGCCCCCAGTGGACAAATGCGGGAGTGTTTCTGCCTCCTTGTTTCATTGATTTCAAGGGGAATCCGACCCGGTCGCAGACATTAATAATATATATACATAGAAATATCCAATCTTCTCTCTGATAGTCTTGTTTGTTTATGTCGGTCATATAGAGGCTTCACTATTAAACTGTGTCTGTTTATAACCAGTTAAAAACTCCTTTAAGTCAAACTATGTCTAAATTATGTCTAAATTATTACAAATATGTTCAAATTATTAAAATCATTCAAAGTAAAATCAGCAAATCTTCACAGCTGACAAGCTGGAGCCATGAAATGTTTTACAGTGATTATAGAAACAGTTGCTAATTCATTTTCTGTTTACTAATAGTTTCAGCTGTAAACTGTTGGGTAATTTATATTACATTTATCATAAAGTAACTAAAGTTGTCAGTTAAATGTAGTGGAGTAGAACTATAAAGTGGCATTAACTAGAAATACTCGAAGTAAAGTTAAGTACATCAAATTAGTACCTAATTAGGTATGTAGGTAGGTAGATTTACTGCTGATACTATAATCACAGTAAAGATGGCTTTGACCCAGAATTTACAGAAAATACATTCAAACACCTAAATTAATAAATAATATGTTAACTTTTTTATAGATTTATTTATTATTATTATTTATTTATGTTGAGGGTTTGTCAGAAATTTCTCAGGTTCTTGAATCTATTTAAGTTAGAATTAAGAGATGCTTTATTTTCCTCCTGGCTACGGCTCTGACTGATGTCGCTGTACACGTTGGTTTGTTGTTGTTGTTGTTGTTTTTGTTTTTGTGGTCGTGTTGTGATGTCATGAGGCTGTGTTTCATTATTTGGTTTGTTTGTTTACCTTGTTTTTATTATGTCTCCTCCCCTCCAGAGAAACTGGATGAGATGCTGGCGGGGGGTCAACAGGAAGTTGTCCTCAGGGCCCGCCCATCAGACGACTTTAGAGCGGCGACGGTGAAACAGAGACCGACCAGCCGGCGCATCACGCAGGCTGAGATTAATGTAAGACGAGTATTCATAAAACAGTCATAAGACTTTCGGTTGAAGCAGTCGCAGCTGGTGATGATTTCTGCATCTGACAGTTGTACATTATTTTCAACCAACAAAACCTTCTCAGCTCTTTCACTGCGCTTTATCCAAGCCAATGAATTAATGTAAACATGGCAGTAGTCTCCTATTCTGTAGCTATATGAATAATACTATTTTTACACCGTAATTAGTGTATAGGCCAGTACAGGTTTGCGTTGTTATCAAGTAAAACATCAAAAAAGTGCAGAAAAACAGGGTCAGTAAACTGTAGAAATCAGCATGCTGGTCAGAGACAAGTTACTTTTTTATATCTTGTACATCAGTCTCCCTTTCAAACTTGATGCCGACGAATCAGGAGAATTTCTCTGACCTCTGCCAGTGTGGCATCTATAAAGAACCAAATTGTTGTTGCATGTTGTTCCCATAGACTGAATAAAACAATAATGATGTTCCTGGCTGTTTACGTTGCAAACATCTGCAACCGCGGAGTCATTTGACCTGGAAGTGACTGCTAATTGTACCCTCTGAAGACAAAAGCCAGATGTTTGTGGGTGTTTTTAACCACAGGACACGGCTTGATACAACAGTGTTAAAGTGGTACCATCAGTGACGGTATTATTAGTCTTCTCATTACAAATCGTGCGTGTAGATAAGCAGAAACATACTTCAGAAACAGGACTAAGTTAGATTTAAGCTTTTTTATGGATTTTTGAATTAAATGTGTTAATCTGTGTGTTTGTGTGCAGTCGTTGTTTGAGCGTCAGGGTCTGGTGCCCCCTACAGCTCCAGAGAAGAGCACCATGGCTTTACCCCGAGGAATGTCCAGAACCAAGAGTTTTGGTGAGACACGCACATGTTATTGTATAAATAAATATTAATATGGACGGTGGCAGGTGAAGTACTATACATACACTATAAATACATTCCTACAGGTAAAATGCTAAAAGTATGAGCATCAAAATATCCTTAAAGTATCAAAAGTAAATATATTATTATATTAGTTTTAACGTCTCCATGGTTACCACGACAGGCACACCTGATGATGACAGGATCACGGCTCTGATCAACGAAAGTCGGTTTCCGCGGAGCTCCTCACTGACGGACAGCTTCATCCCTCCCCCTCCTCAGACAGCTCCACCCCCTCCTCCCTCAGCCTCCTCCACCTCCTCGGTCTTCCTCCTAGACTCTGGCCCTCCCCCGTCCTTCCTCCCGCCGCCTCCCCCGGCCAGAGGGGAGGGGCTAACCCGGTCCAGCTTCAAGCCAGGGGCGGAGCCGAGGCTCCAGGAGCTCTCTGATTCGCCAACGAGGAGCCACGCCCACGCTGAGCGGCAGAGGAAAGCGAGGTCGATGATCATCCTGCAGGACACGCCACCGCCGCTGCAGCCTGACGCACACCCCGCCGCCACACACGCACTGCACACTGCCACGCACACCGCCACACACACGCTTCACACCGCCACACACACCTCCACGCTGTCTCTCCACAGCACCAGCCCCGCCCTCGGTCACTCACCGCTGTCACGCCGCCGGGGACGACCAATAGAAAACCCATATGCTAACGTGGGACAGCAGGCTCCGCCCTCCAAGCCACAGAGGAGGAAGTCACCTTTATTGAAACAACTTCCTGTAGAGGAGCAGGGTTAGGACACACCTGTCATCTTTCTGATTATATTTGTGCCTAATTTTCCTAAGTGCATTGTGGGACGTGTGTTGTAGTTCATTAACTACCTTTAGCAGTTGGTTGCTAGCTAAAAGCATACTCAGTGAGCTGTGTAAATCAGGGCTATACTTACATTTTGTGCCTTGGCTGTGTTGTACCAAACGGCACAACTTACGTATGGCTGTGGTATACTTGCTTACCATTCTCCCAGTGCTTCCATAGTGACCGATAACCTTCCAGTGATCAAACTGGAGACAAAACAGCCAATCAGAAATGACCTACTCCAATTCTCTTTGGAGGAAGTGAAATCTCAGGAAAGTGAATTTGAGCTAATAAGTGAAACTGAGAGGTTATTATTATGTGTTTACGTGGTTAATAGAAAACAAGCAAATCAAGTATAAAATTGATTTTTGTTCCTCACGCTTCCAAAAAACATTTTCATGTGCTCAAAATGTCCAATTTCATGCTCAGGATTGAGACAGAAATGTAATGCTGTAGACTCCTACTCATCACCTGTATCAGTCTGACTCATTTTCATTTTTCTTCTAGGACTCGGAATGAAAGATCATGATTCGTCTAAATTAGACGTACCCAGCAGCCCCAGTAGGGCGGAGCTGTACCAGCAGCAGGTTCTTTCAGAGCGCGCTCGGGTTCAGGGCCGAAGGTCGTCTCTTTTCCTGTCTGTGGAGGGATCCGGGACTGAAAACCAGGTCCCGCCCCTCCTGACTCAGAGCCATTCAATGGATGACCTCGGCGAGCTTCCGCCTCCAGCTCCGGTCCTGTCGCCCTCACCAACACCTCACACCTTCCTCCACCCACTGACGGGGAAACCTCTGGGTCAGTCTGACAACACAATGTTATGGGATCTCTCTTGTTTGTTCTTAACAGTCTGGATGTATTCTGTGGTTTATATTTTTATATATTATATATATATATATAATAATCAAGTTATCCATTTTTTCTAGAGTCTAAAGAATCAACGTATTCCAAATCAGATAACGATATAAATCCATTTTTGACACTGGGCTTAATGATCGGTACCACAGTATCTAATGTATCATTATATTTGAATTATTTTAATGTATTGTAGTGAATAAAGTAGGGGCTATTAAGAAAGTAGTCTTGAGGTAGTCCACAAACTAAACGAGGACCTAGAACAGAGCCTTGAGGTACTCCACAAAACTAAAAGAGTACCTAGAACAGAGCCTTGAGGTACTCCAAAAAACTAAAAGAGGGCCTAGAGCAAATCTTTGTGGTACTACGCAAAAAAAGAGGACCTAGAACAGACTTGAGGTAGTCCACAAACTAAACGAGGACCTAGAACAGAGCCTTGAGGTACTCCAAAAAACTAAAAGAGGACCTAGAACAGAGCCTTGAGGAACACAAAATAAAAAAGGACAGAGGACTGAGTTTTTGAGTACTACTACAAAAGAGCCTTAGATGATGTGAAAATACCACAAGCAATCTGTTAGAGAGTATTAGCCCATTCGAGAGCAGTTAATTTACACCTTTAATTTTCTTTTCTTTCCTCAGACCCCTCGTCCCCACTCGCCCTGGCACTCGCTGCACGAGAGAGAGCGCTCACTGCTCGCACACCGAGCCCAGAGCCTCGACTAAAACACGCATCTGCCTCCACCACACCTATCCCCACCCCAGCTGCCAGCCCAGAGGGAAGACACAAGCGCACCCCTATGGCCACCCCACAGAGCAGCCCCGAGCCAAGATCCAAACGCACCACCCCTCAAACAAGCCCCGAGCAACGAACCAAGCGCACCACTCCCCAGACCAGTCCTGAGCTGAGGCATAAACGCATAACCCCTCCCTTGTTCCCTGATGGACAGGTGGAGCGTCCAGAAACAGAGGGAGGAGTGACATCACCTGCCGGCCCCTCCCCTGAGCGCTGGAGACCCACCCCCTTGCCACAACTGGCCAATGAGAGTCACTCTGCTCTGATTGACAGGCGTAGAAGCCTCACAGTGGGCAGCTCAGAGGAGGAGGGCGGGGCTTACACAGTTACACTTCCACCAGCCTTGTTGTCATCCAGCGATGAGGAGACTAGAGAGGAGCTCCGGAGAATTGGCCTGGTAACTCCACCCCCTGCCTTCGTCACTACACCCGCACCTCCTCCCCCATCCTCCCTCACCTTGTTGCCACGGCGAGTTGGGGAGGGAGGGGGAGGAGAGAGTGCTCCTGACTCCCTGGTTAGACGAGATGAGGAGGAAGGAGGTGACGAACGGCTCCATGACAGCTCCTCGTCCCCCAGCTCGCTCCCTCCTTCCATCACCTTGGCCTCCCCTCCTGCTCCAGCCTCCCCCTCCTCCCCTCCTGCTGCTCACCCTTCCCCTTCCTCCCCCTCCACCTCCCCAATTGCTCTAAAGCCACGCCTTCGCTCACCTATTGGGCGGGGCCGCTCTGCGCTCCGGGACCCGCTGCTGAAGCAATCATCAGACAGTGAGCTCCTCCCGTCTGCTGCATCGTCCTCCTCCCCCTCTTCCCCACTCTGCTCCTCCCCCACCGGTGGCGGTGGCCGACAGCCACGCTATCTTTTCCAAAGGAGGTCCAAGCTGTGGGGGGGTGGGGACGACCGTGGGGACGAGCGGCGGGGCCTTAGCCCGGAGGAAGGGGGAGGCCGTCCAGCAGCGTTGGGAGGTCAGGGATCTGGGTCGGCTGTGGATCTGACCAGCCGGTCGGCATCAGCGCTGGAGCTGAGCGGCCGAGCTGGGTCCGGACTGGATCTCGCTAATCGGCTACAGCTGCTTAACAAAGACAGTCACTCTCTGGGGGAGGAGCCGAGTCCGCTGGATCCAGGCCGGAGATCACCAGTAGGAGGCGCCAGGTATATCAAACTGACTTTTGTTATAAATACTGCAGTACTACTGACCTGAGAGCACTACTGTGTGTGTGTGTAGTGTGTGCACGTATTATAACAGAATCTGTTGTTTGTGTTGTTCCAGATGTGTGGACAATGGAGAGAGTAAATCGTAGGTTTTTATCTCTGGTAAACATTTCTCGTTATCGCTAAGAGATGATTTTCCTTCGCTAACAGCAAACTAACACGCACCTTTCTTTGCAGATGACTAACTACTAAATGTCTGAAATTACTATCCCGTCCGTCTTTTGGATAAAACCTGGAGCTGAACATTTACTAAACACTTGTGAAAAGTGATTGTTAAATCTTGTCCCTGTCAATCTTTGTATTTCTCAACATGTGGTATGCACGGAAGTAAGAGCGATACTTTGTATAAAAGGAGTTCGGGTCCGGTGTCTTTTTTCAAAACAAAAAACACAAGAGCAAAAGTTCAAGGACTATTTTAAATAATGTGTTTATCTGCTCTAATGAAAGCTGCAAATATTAGCATATCCATTAGCTAGTACAAATCAGTCGTCTTTGTCGCTACTCCAGGTTTGTTTTATAGTAAGTATGTTACAATGCTATAATAACAACACAATCTAATACTCTTCTATCATACTTGTGATGACTTGCTTCCCTTTTATTTCCACGTTTTCTACATGAATAGTCTTTTAGAATTATATTACAGATGAAACAATCAAAGGCATATTTAAGACCTCACAGAGTTCTCATTTTACAACAAGTCAGCTGGAGACAGTTTCAACCAACATATGTTGTTTACATTACTGCTAATTAGCTAGCTAGCAACTGCCTTAACAGGAGTAGTAACAGTGACTAAGGGAACAGGACTTCAACACTAGAGATCGCCTGATAAGATTTTTTCAGGGTCGATACAGATACTGATTACTAGCAATCAAGAAAACCTGACGTACATTTGCACATTCATTGATAACTGTTGCGTTTATTTCATTTATATACTGTTTAATGTGTTGCAGGTTGTTCTCTAGTCTTGGTGAACTCCACACTATCTCCCAGCGAGGATTTGGCGCCAGCTATACAGTCCGACCAGGAAGCCGCTACCCCGTCACCCGTCGGAGCCCCTCCCCCTCTCCCTCCCCATCTGATAGGTCAATAGGGCTTGCCTCCTCCTGCTCTGAAAGGCCAGATCTGAGCTCAGGTCGCGGTCTAACCATCCTAAAGTCATCCAGTCTCAGTCTCCCCTCAGAACCAAAGGAGGTTCGGTTTGTGATGCGAAGTGCCAGCGCACGAACCAGGTCCCGTTCACCCTCACCCTCACCCCACGCCTCTCCCTGCCCATCCCCGGTCCTCAGCGGGCCCCTGTTGGCCCTTCGGCCATGGAGGCAGCGGCCCCTCAACCTGTGGAATAAATACGACGTGGGTGACTGGCTGGAGAGCGTGGGCCTGGCCGAACACCGCCAGCGCTTCCAGGAGCATGAGATCGAAGGCTCCCATCTCCCCGCCCTCACCAAAGACGACTACGTGGAGCTGGGCGTCACCAGACTGGGACACCGAATCAACATCGAGAGGGCTCTCAGACAGCTGCTGGATGGTTCCACTTGACCCCTCACCTCTGACCACTAACCTCTAGACATCCTGAACTGTGACCTCATAACCCCTGACCTCTGGTCAGACACTAGGCCATCTCTTTGACTAGGATATCTTAGCAGTGACTGAATCTTTAGACCTTTTTACCAATGTGGAACCCAGCTCTCTGAGTGATCTCGGTGACATTTTGGCTCATCAGCTCTTTGGTCAACTCAAAAGGAGTTGGTAGCAACAGGATCTGTGTCCAGTATTTAGCTTGAGTGTTATAGACCTCCAAGATTTGACCTCTGTTAACGTCTAGTGCCCAGTGTTTATGACGTAAAAAACCCTTTTTGAGGTTTTCTGCTGTACACTACGAGACATTTTCGGCTCTGAGGCTGCAATGTTTAAACTTAAAAAGCTGGAATATAGCCTTACCGTGTTCACATCTTATTGTTCGGACCTTAATTGTGAGCAACCGAATGAGAAAAATGTCCCAGATCTGAGTTGGAGACGATTTTTCCCATTCTGTGAATACAACTACAGCTGCAAAGCTGACAGTTGCATGAAAATAAAAATCCAGTTTTAATTCTAAATTAAAACTGGATTTTTATTTTATTATTACTCTTAACTAAACTCATTAAACTTTGATGAACAACCCAAAATCCAAAGATATTAATTCCTATCACAGACGACAAAGAAAACAAGCGAAGTTTAATATTTTAGAAGCTGTAAGCTAAACAATCAATTATTAGAATTGTTGCCAATATTTTTCTTTTTCCTCAGTCAACTAATGGATAAATCAACAAGCTAATCAGCTGATTAGAGTGTCTGTAACTTAAAATTTTACCTAGAATTGCTAACATCCTGTGCTGGCTAGCAAGTCAAATACTGACATTATATAGATAACTTTGTTTGTTTTCTGTATATTGTTGATCTGGATCACTAGAAAATAGAGATTTGACCCTGCTAAAGCTAGTTTACAACATCCACGCAGTAATCTACAGCATTACGTTTGCATACAAAGCCAATCGCAGCTGGACACAGAGCTCTGCTGCCAATTCCAACAGGTGAAGGGACATCGATCGAAGAGCTGATCTGTCAAACTGATTACAAATATAATGAGACGGGTTCTTTTCCTCGTGCCATTCTGCTTCCCCAGACGAGTTTAGCTGGACTTTTGCTAGCAGAGCTGGACGATTAGCGAGCTACTGGGAGTCTCTACCTTAACAACGGGAGATTAACGGAGAAACGATATTTCTCCATCATTTTACAGAAAGTTCTTGTGACTTTTTTTTTTGTTTTTGGGGTTTTCTTTTTTCCAAATATCACTCATGAAGAATTTGTGTTTATTTTGAGTTCATATCTTAATACTGAATCATTTAGAATTTATGAATAACAAGTAATAATAATGTGGTGGTGATGACTTACAGAGTTTATAATAGTTTGGAAAATGATTTTGAGTTCCTTATGATTTGACAATGAGTTGAATTTCAAGGTCGTTTCGGTGATGTTTTGGAATTCATAATGATTTGTCAATGAGTGTGACTTTGTGCTGATGTGCTGTGTGTTTCAGGGAGAGCTGCAGCAGAGCTCCAACTGTAAACCTCTTTGGTTTCTAACCTGCTTATCGAGGGCTTACTGTACATGGTGCTATCTGTTTAAAGCCATCTGTACAGAAAATACCTTTCTCCTTCCCCTCCTATACCTTCCTCACACTGACACCTGAAACGCGTAGGTCAACCCCCCACCCACCCCCTCTTAACTAAATTAATCAATCGAGTGTGGCTGTACCCGCCATAACCATCTTGCAGTAAAGGTAACTCGCCAGGAACAGGCCATATATGGAGTTTCCTCCCTGCCATATTGGGGATTTCTTCCCTGCCATACGTGGAGTTTCCTCCAGACCATATATATATAGAGAGTTTCCCAGGGGCCATAAATCGAGTTGCCCAGTTACAGTTTACAGTTCATGTGAAGTCACAAAATTTGTGTTTATGAGTCAAGATGCGGTCAATTTGCTAGAATAACTGACACCTAATTCACAGAATTATAACTCTCATCCTTTTTATATGAGTCCAAGAACAATTACAGGTTAATGATGTCAAAGTAGGACTGGGCGATAAGGCCAACATTACTTTTTAAGCTCAAAGACATTTTTTATGATTTTAATAAATAACTTTACCTTCCAGCGTGATTGAAACATTATTTAGCTGTTATTGTTGTGCATATTCAGTAAATACAGGTTATCCCATATTAAGGATGTGCACAAATAGTCATTTAAACATTGCTACCATCGCTAGTCAGTTACTGAAATATAGTTAAAAGCAGCGAGGGAACATGATGGCAGCTCGTGTTTTGATCCAGTTGAAAATGAAAATAAAGTACAGTAAATACAGACAATATTTTTTCAGACAATGTTTATCAACTACAGAGGTTTCTTACTCTTATCTTAATGTTACAATTTCTGGGGAAATTAGTCACCAAGAACATCTTATTATATGATCTAATATCACAACATCTCAACATCAGCCTAACATCTGCAGACAGCTACAGAAATCTGAATCAATCACACTAATTTCCTCTATCGCCCAGCCCTACATTAGAGCGTTTGATAAGAAGCTGTACAGTTTGTTGAATGCTACTTTATGACTAAAAACCTCCACATTATATTTATTATCTGTGTGCAGAATCCGGTCTGACCGCCTCATAAACAACATTATTGGACACAACTCTCACAGAAAACTGTCTTCCTTTCGCCATCTTACCCAGAGAGCAACGAGAACACTCACATCTCTGCGTCCTGTACAGGATGTGATTAGCCTAGCTTAGCACAAAGACTTGAAGCAGGGGGAAACTGTTAGCATGAAAAGTGAAAAAATACACTTTCCAACCGAAAAGATTTCCATGTTGTATCTTTGTTAGCTGGTTCGTCACACATTTATCCAGCCGAGTTAACAGTAGATTAGGACATCATGAGGACAATGCTAACAATAATTGATAGTTATGGATGATACCTGTAAGATAACCAATAATCTCTTAAAATTTTGTGTTCATAACCTGCAGTTTTTACACACCAGGCTGAGATATAGTGAGTCTTAACTCTGTTTTAACCAAATCTCAACATCACAATCACAAACATTTTATAGAACTCCAAGAATTCAAAATAAATTATTACTCATGAACCGATAAATTTATCAGCTGGAATTTAATTATCACAATAATTTATCTGTTCTGATAATTATTGTGCATCCCTAATTCTATATTTAAGTAATTTAATTTTGTAATTCAGACATCTTTGAAGTCTCTGGAAAGTGTATTTCTTTCACTTTTTATTCCCTTTAAATTGGAATTAGGAAGCAAAGTTAATGTTGTATCATCTTCAAGTGCTTTTTCCATTACTGCTACAGCTCCCTGTTTCCTTAATAATCTCACACATAACGAATCAGTCTCTCCTCCTGATTCCCCTCTGAAGCACAATCAAAGTTCCAGTGCCTGTTCCCACAACGTTACTGCGTTTATCCAGCTGTTCCTCCCCGACTTACGTTCCCGAACACGAGCCGAGTTACAATCATGAATCCCAAAGTTGTACAAGTTCACGGTGCCCTCCTTCCTCCTATGGGAAACAAAGTGTGACAAGAATGTATAGTGTATGTACAGCACATTACAGTAGACATTATAGTCTGTATAATATATATTATGATAATGTAGCTATAGTGTAATATATAAAGTATAGTAGACAATAACATTTATACAGTAATATTTTGGTAGATGTAATCTATAAAGTATTTATCCAGATGTGATATTCAGCCTTTGTAAACAGCTACACATCAGATGTTTAACTTCGAAATGAACGCTGGAAGGAGACAAAATGCATCTTTAAAGAGTAAATTAACACTAAATACATTTATAAGTTAATATATCTACAGTCAGATAATCATACTATCACTTTATTCCAGTCGCAGTGTAAAGTGTATCTGAGCAACACTCCCCTACCGAGGCATAAAAACTGAAACTAAATCCTCGTGTGAATCTAAATCCTTTCAAATTTTCTTCCCAAACTCTTTCCTGCACTAAAAAAGCTTCCACACAACGAGGTGTTACATCTCTGACTAGAGAGAAAGTCGTCACTGAGACAGTCAGTTCATACAACAGTGACAATGTTCGGATACTGATGTGCGCGTACGAGTATTTGTGAGAAAAAGTTGCGCAAAACTGCTTTTTTGTTTGTTTGTTTTTTTGTAGCCGGCTGCCTGAAAGCATCACGATGTAGTGAGTAAAATCAAGACTGATCATTGGATTTGAATTTAGTCGATTCAGGTCCAATTCTTGACGTTTTGGTGCAAAGTATTCTACATATTATGCGCACAGCGACAGCCCTCAAATCCCATTGAGACCATTTCAGAAGCCTGTTGAACGCCTTATGTTGTTTACTTCTGTATTTGGTCCTTAAAAAGGAAACAAAACGATGTGTTTCACCGCTTAAAATCTCCTCTACTCTGCCTCTGATTGACTTCTGTCCTGGTGCCATATTGTTGATCCAGCAAGGAGTCTGCAGGCGATATTTTATTTTGAAAATTGACCTGATTCTCTATGCTGTTTCTGTGTCTGACTTCCTGCCAGACTGCGGCGAACCCGTGTGGTGGAGGGTGGGGGTTAGGGTTTTAAACCTGCTCATATTAAAGTCCGGAGAATGCGTGAAACAAGCTAGTTCGTACACAAAATGTAAACGTTATGAAGGGAAACACTTGAAGACGGCGCCGTGTCATCGTTCGACCGCTGCGTGACGTACGTGTGATAGATTGTTGGTTTGGGAACCTTTCGGAAAAAGGTGTAAACAGAGGAAGTTTCAGACACCGTTCAATGATACTGACTCACAGATCGATAAAAAACAGTGAAAACTTTACAGCACAAACATCTTTTTAGTCTTTTATCTCCAGAACAAACAAAGTTCTGGTCTCACAGGCGAAGTAAAGTGCCTGTGTAGCTGTTTACAGTAAAATATCACCTTTATCAGATACTGTATGTATAGTATATATTATAATGGACTATAGTCTACTGTACAGAGTCAACCACAGAATGAGACGTGGGCTGTCGCTTTCTCTGCAGTGTAACAAAGAAAATCTGTGATGGAGAGGTCATGTGACCTCTTAACCTCTGACCTCAGGTCCCCCACTGGGAATCCCTCTGTACACTAATAAAGTCATGAGGTCGTTCACTTGTTGTAGGATTTCTCAGCCAATCAGAAAACACAACCAGCAAAACCTGCTGCTAAAAAGAAAATCTCACCGGTGACGTGAAGTGAGGTCAGTGGTGTTCCTCTGCAGGGGAAAGTAGTTCCTTCCCTGAAGTTCTGCCGTCCGTCTGCCGCCAATCGAATCAGCTAACAGAGTTTATAAAAGGTCTTCTGAGGTTTATTCTGTAGAAAACATGGTTCTCTGTCCTGAGACCATCCTGGTTCCAGATCCATGAATCACACGTCCATCTGTTATGTTCAGTGAGTTCGGTGACTCATGAGTGAAGTTTTGTTTTCGCCTGGTCCTGAATTATTTGTCTCCAGACTGCGACCATGGAGTCCAGTTCCCTTCAGCTTTAACACATCACGCCTCCATAACCAGTTCTTTAATCTATATCAGGGGTAGGCAACCTGCAGCTCCTCGCTGTGGCTTCAACAAAACAATTATATGGAAATGAAACATTTTTATTTATCATGTTTGGAGGAAAATGTGATGCTGTTACACAGAATTAAAAACAAATGTTTTAACGTCCTGACATGGCGCCTCTTCCTCTATAGTTCGGCAACCTTTAATAGCAGGAGCTGCTAGTTTTGAGTCTCCCTAGCTGAGAATTTAATAGTGAGTGGACAGATTTCTCTGCTGGCTTTTTGGGTCAAAAACGTCTCTTTGGATAGAAAAGGTTGCTGACCCCTGATCTACATTATAAGGTTTATAGTGTTACAGCGTTGTGATAAAGGAGGAGACTCTTCAGGCGGCCCTGGTACCACCATTTTGCTAACAAGTGGAAGCCGCCAGTATTTCCAGATGTTTTCTCGACTCTAAATGTCGAAGCCAAAATAAAAACCATCTGAAAATACTGAATCTGGTCTCAGTTAGGGAACCAAGGGGACCCATGGAGACCTCTACCCTTTAGCGTCATATACATCTATTATTTTCCTCTATTAAGACACTTTATGCAGTATTGTTTTGTTTTTTTCTCACCAAGAAATCATCTTTTCCCAAACATGTATCCTCAACATCAACCAAACTTCTTGGTTTAACTTAAGCTAAATGTATATGCTAGCTAACGCTAACGCAGCAGCTGGGTATATGTGGCTAATTAGCAGCGGTGGAAAGTAACTGAGTACAGTAATGTACAAATTAATGAGGTATTTTTTTTATGCTACTTTACTTTTAAACTTAATTTTAGAGAGAAATATTGTACTTTTCATGTCACTACACGTATTTAAGAGCTTCAAAAATAAGATTTTACGTGTAAAACATATGTAAAATATTAAATTGTTTTAAAAAGCACCAGAAGTTTATGAAGCAGTTAAAATTAGCTCCAGTTCGACCAACTACAACATTAAAGTACAATAATGTAATAATATAACACTGACAGTAGCCACTCGCTGCATTACGAGTACATTTTGTTGCCAATACTTTTGTACTTTTACTTGTAATGGAGTATTTTTATACTTTGAATACTTCTTCCACTGCTGCTAATGCTCATGGTCCTTAAAGAAGGAGACAAACTGGCCGCTCTAAGATAAAGACTAACAAGGCGACAGGTTGAGAACCGGATCTTAATTAAATTAAAAAGATGGAATAAACTGGATAGTGTTGACTGACTTCACGCCTCAGCTTCCTGCTGATTGGCTGAGAATCCTGGCTTTCTAACGTGCGTGTGAAACCTTCCTCCTCCTGATATTCACCTGGTTATAATGGTTTTATGGTTACCCTCCTCTTCCTCCTCCTCCTCCTCCTCCTCTTCCTCCTTTCTAGCTTCCTCTTTTTACAGTATGTTTGTAGTTTCTTCTGGAGTGAGTGGCGTGAGTGTACGTGTAGTTTTTTTTCTTCCCTTTTCTAAAGACTAACGAGCACACAAATGACAACTGATGAGCTCTGCAACGCAACAGATTGTAATCTTTATAATAAACTGTCATTTATTACAAAGTTAACTCTGCCTTCACGTGTGGTTCTTTCAACGGCTTTTACGACCTCTGACCTCTGAATCTCAAAGTCGAGTTAATGACTGACGAGTTTAACCTCGAGATTGTGGCAGCTTCTCAAGAAACGACCAAACATAAACAACAGTTAAATGATAAGTCTTGTTCGCCCGGTCTTTAAGAAGATTCTCATGTCTGTATACTACAGCTACAGGCAGCAACTGGTTAGTTTAGTTTAGCATAAAAAACTGGAGAGAGGAGGAAACAGCTATAGATAAATGCTCAGTCGCTATATATTGCGGAGGTCAGCAACATGAATGTAAATTATTTACAACTTTTTCTTTCTCTAAACACACAGATTTATATATTATATTGTTATATCATTATATCGTTATATTATATTGTTATATTGTTATATTTATATAAGTATTATATTGTTTTAAAGCTGCCTGGTTGCTTGTCATGTGACATTTCTTTACAGGAATAAACCTAATTCAACAGGAGAATTATTTTCCACACACAGTTTTTCTTGCCACTTTCCTGTTAGACATTAATTTGTAGTGTGTGTGGAGACTTTATGCACCAGTTCACACTAATGTAACAACTATTCACTGTTTTCATTCTGTATTCTGTAAAGAAAAACAGTGGCTTTTTGTTTTGTTCCTAATACTTCGTCTGTTTGTACGTTCAGAAGCTGACTGAACCAACATCAGGTTCAATTTGTCACGTTCACAAAAAGCCAAATTTCATGCAAATTGATTTAGATTTAACCGAGTTACGATCTCTCAGTGTTGTTAACAAGCCGTCACATCAAGGCAGTACCACTTTTGTCCACAGGGG